TTGCCAAGTGGGCTGGTCCTCAAACTTGATGGCAAATTTAATTACCTTGGGAGCTTTAAAAAAACAAAAAACAAAAAAACCCATAGTTGATTTAATTGGTCTAGGGTACTGAACATCAGGATTTTTTTTCTTTAATAGAGATGAGGTCTTGCTCTGTCACCCAGGCTGGAGTGCGGTGGCTCAATTATAGCTCACTGTAACGTCAAATTCCTGACCTCAAACAATCCTCCCACTTTGGCCTCCCAAGGTGCTGCGATTACAGGCATGAACCACAAGGGCTGGCCAGGATCTATTTTTTTAAATTGAGACAGGGTCTTGCTCTGTCACCCAGCCTGGAATACAGTGGCATGATCACAGCTCACTGCGGCCTCGACCTCCTGGGCTCAAGCGATCCTCCCACCTCAGCCTCCCATGTAGCTGGGATTACATGTGTGTACCGCCAACCCAGCTATTTTTTTCTTTTGTAGAGATGCGGGGATTTGCGGGGGTGGATCTCACTTTGTTGCCCAGGTTGGTCTTGAATTCCTGGGCTCAAGCGATCCTGCTGCCTCAACCTGTCAAAGTGCTGGGATTGTAAGTGTGGCCACCGAGCCTGGTCTTGGCCTGGATTTTTTTAAAGCTACTCAAGTAATTCTGTACAGTCAGTGCTAGGTAGTGGCCTGGAATCATGATTCCCAAACTGTGGTGTGCATCAGAATCACAGGTTGCTGGGCTGCACCCCCAGAGTTTCCGACTCAGTAGGTCTCGGATGGGACTGAGAATTGGCATTTGGAACAGCTTCCCAGGCAATGAATATGATGCAGAGAACCAGGGCTAGAGGATAATCCTGGTTTGCTCAGGACAGCTCATGTGGAGCATCACCCTGTCCCAGGTGTGCCACTTTACAAGCCCCCTGGGTCTGACTGGGGGTGGGGCCAGACCCTGATGGGTGGGGAGGCCCCCGCAGGGAGTGCAGGAAGCACATGAGTTGTCAGGGAAGAGAGAGGGTGAGGCCACTGAGCTGAAACATGGCATCAGGGGCAAGAGAGGCAGCCTTGGCAACAGTGA